TTATCACACCATAATGGCCGGATTTTTTTATCCCGTCAACTCATGTCACGTCATATATATCCTTATCCTAATCCTATTTAGTAAACGAGGGATAAGGTTGGTTAACCAACCTTATCCTATCCCCTATCAAGGCTAGTAAACGAGGCTTAATTATATTGATAATATTGAGGATAGTGAGATTGAATTAAAGTTGAGTTAGATTTTGAACATGAATTAGTTTGGTTTGTGATTTTTCTTTTACAAAAATAGCCTAAGACTTTCTAAGATTTGCTTGGATTTCTAAAGAAAAAATCTAATACTACATCCACTCCAAATATCACGATTCCATAGGAATCTTCCAAAATCTGAAAATTTTAAAATGTCTCAAAATGTCACTCGAAATTTCAAATGAATACACTCTTCTAATTTTCTGTCACATCAGTTGGTGAATATATATTTGTCCGTGCTCACCGTGGTAAAGAAGAGGAGAGATTGAACATTTCTAATGATTTTTCTATTTCAATTACATTCAATGACTTGCCAAGTAAAACAGAACCCTCTTTTGTATGGAAATGAAGCAATGTAATAATAATAACTTTAGTGTATAATGTATATCTAAATCAATGGTTTGTGCCAAATGTTGTTAGTTGTGGCATTAAATCTATCCCACTTGGAGTTGAATAGAGTATAGATACATAGGTTGTGCCTACGAGCCCTAAAAGACTTTAAACGTAAATCAGTAATTGAAAAAGATAAATAGTTAACAGGTGAAAACAACCTCTTTTGGCTGCCAATACTGCAAATCTTTATGGTGAACTCGATTTAAATTGAAGTGTCTGCATTTTTTTTTTTCTTTCACGGATCTGATATTTAGATAGACATTAGCAAGCTTGGACAGATCCAAACTTAAAAAAATGCTATGTTCATAAAATCATGTATGAATTATTCGGAAATTTATCAATTTGGATTTTTAAAATGGGTTAATTATAAAGTTGCACGGGGATTTCGTACCTTAGAATATTTTTTTTGAAAACTTTATTCTAACAATATATTAGTCCGCTGACCGTTTATATTAATATAAATAATATTTTAACATGTATATTTGATTTCTTACCTTAGAATATTTTTTTTTTTGAAAACTTTATTCTAACAATATATTAGCCCGCTGACCGTTTATATTAATATAAATAATATTTTAACATGTATATTTATTTTTTAATACAGAGAAAAAATAATAGCCAACTCAATCTTTAATGATAAAAATTCATACCTTTCACATTTACCGATAACTGACTAGCAGAATCAGAATAATGAACGGATCTTTAGATTTGGTGTCTTTGTAAGGTACCTTAAAATTATTGTATGCAAATAAATAATAATAATAAACCTACAACTACAAGTGGAGTTATGGAGGAGGCTCTTCAGTTGTTTTTGCAATTAATAATTCATTGCTTGCCCATGATTCCGAATTTTTTACCAGAAAATTTAAAAAAAATTAAGTTGTGGAAAAAAAAAGACACAATCAAATGAAAGTGGACCAAAATAAAATTCCCGTATTTAGTGAATACGTTTTACCCCTTTTTTAATTGTAAAACGTATTCAAGGAATACGGTTTCTTTTATAAAAGATTCTGAAAAAACGTATTCCTTGAATACGTTTTCTATACAAATTGTATAGAAAACGTATTCCTTGAATACGTGGTTTTGATATATGTCCACTCCTTTTTTTTTTTTTTT